CACACTGAGAGCCTCTGCACCGGAGACCAGTTCCTTGTATGTTCAACATACTTGGTGATTAAAGCTGATTCTGATTCTGAATATACATATAATGGCTTCAAGATGGGCTACAAAGAACTGAAGGAAAATGCAAACCAGGTGCTGGTTCAGGTAGCCGGGAGAGAAGGAAAGGCAAAGTCGCACATCATCATAATCCTGATAATCTTTTTCAGCTCAGATGCTTTCTTTGGAAAAAAAAAGCTTGAACTCATGTGGATGTGTATATTTAATCTTTAGAACAGGAGATTCAAATAAATGAGCTCACAGGCTTTAAACTGATTAATGAAACAAAAACACTAAAAATGACCTGATGTAAAATTCTATGGTTTTTGTCAAGTGGCCGTAATGTGCCAAGACACACAGCGATGCAGCAGCAAAGGCAGGGAAGAAGACAACTGATAGCAAGTAAACATAAATGTAAACAATACAGAAATTAAAATGCTTTTAAAAATCTTTTTTACAAATGTTTTTGTGAAATAAAATGCATTGTACTTGTTAAAAATCAAGAATATACAGAGTTTGTTTACAAGAGGACTCGACAGGACACCACTAATGTTGGAGGCCTTTCCTGGCTTTTCTTTGTTTATCTTGACAGACCTGTGAGCTCCTTGAGTTGGATCACCTGTGTAACTCCATGTAAGGACATGCTGAAATCACGGCTGCCTGCCAACATCACTAAAAGTCTATATGTCACATTTCACAAACCAAGCGTGAAAAACAGGGATAACTGAAACAAGGACACACGAGATTTCTGAACTACTATAGACAGGAAACGTTTTAGAAAGTATTTATTTCTAAATTAAGATTTAGAAAGGAGATGTCAGTCACAACACTGGCATTCATCCTAAAAGCCACAAGTGGACACAAACTCTGTCTGTGAGAAAGTTAAACAGATCTTCATGAAAAAATAAATGTATGAATCACTGAAATTCATTTCTGCATCCACAAGGTCCTTCACATTTAAATGGTTGGGCTCCTGTGGGTGTTTATTCAGTACATTAATATGAATAAAATGTTGCATTAAATCTCCTACTGTACATATACAATATTTCTATCAATGTGTCATTCTCTAATTAGTTTCAACAGCACTGAAGATGTTGGCTTACTGTACGCTCAGCTCTGTCCCCAGAGACAATGTGGCTCAAAGCCACAGTGACAACTTGGAGTAAAAAGATAGAGCCCCAGTGACAACAGAAAGAGAAAAGCAGAGACAGAGATATAGCAGCATTGACTTGCAGCACACTGAGACCAAGAAATAGGACTAAGTAATATTGACCCCTTCAGCACCTCCCATACTGTCAATGTCATCTTTTGATGGTATCTTGCAGACAGTTCTTATTTCTGCCTTTTGTTGAATGCACAAAAACGTCTATTGTTGAGAGCATTTTTCAAAGAAAACATTAGGGACAATGACAACAGAAGGCACAAAGGCTGCAGTTAAGCCTTTCTTGATGATTTAAAAGACCTTGAGAAAATATCAGAACAGAGATGCTGGAGTGATTTTCTTTCAGGGATTTTATATTGTTGAAAAACTGCCATGATCCCAGAGTGATTTTAAAGTAACAGACTTTGTCATCAGCCGCTCTCCTAGGCGCTGGCACTGAAACCATACAAAGGAACTGAGCTTTTAACATCTCTAAATGTCTCTGCATAATGATCTGCTCCCTGTGCTGGGTCACAATAATTAATGGGGTAATCTCTGAAACAGCTTCGTGTGAAGATTACCACTTCTTATTTAAGACTATGAATAAAAAAGCAGTTATAACCTTCAAACCAATGACTTCAAACAAATAACTAAGATATCATTTAACAGATTTCAGTCAAAGTAAATTATGCAGCGTTTGACAGAAGCTGCACTTACATTTATTCTATTAATATCACAAGTAGAGCACAAACAGATTTGTGGTAACACCTTGATCAGAATAAGGTGGGTCTCAAATTTCATTCATTAGGAGGTAGGTTCAAAGTTTCACAACCATTAAATAGATGAACATTTATCACATCAATGCCAGTTTTCAACTACTTTCTACTCTGGGAAGCCAACGCTCTTTCTACACGTTCATCTACTTTGGTTAAGTCCTCTGGGAACAGCCTTTCTCAGGGGAACCATCTAAGAATATATGATGTTTACTACTAAAGAGAAGGCTCACCTTCTGTGTAATAGTTCTAACAGTACTGTTCTACTCCACTGGAAACATGCAGCAGAATAAGAGAACCAGCGTCCAGCCACTGAAACAGGTCCATCTTCATGAAGCATTTGCTTTTGATGGAATGCTGGATTTGGTGTATTGTGCATGTTACAATGAAGCAAGATTTTTTTGTGTCAACCCCATTTAATTGGGAAACATTTTACAATGAAGCCTTATTATCACTTTGCCATCTAGAAAAAAGCATTCATGACTTCATCTCAGAATCAGAATCTGCTTTATTGGCCAGGTGTGTCGGACACACGAGGAATTTGACTCTGGTACATCGGCTCTCAATGTGTATGTACATATCCCCTGCTCTTTATGTTGTGCTGTCTCTTCATAATTCATTAAAATAGTACAATGTGTTCTTAAAGCATACAGGCATTTTGAGCCTGTTGTTTTGTCTTATTTTAGGACAGACTGATTACAGACATGTAGTATTCTGCATTATCTTTCACTTCAGCCTATGAACTTTCTTTCATCAAGCAAAAATATATGCCTGCACCAATTTAAGACAAGAATGGTAGTGGAGATACTATGAGCATATGTCCCAGTATCAGCGAGTCCCAGCGCTCATACTTAAATTTCTCAGAACTTGTTTAGCTGGGATTTTGTGAATAAAAACAACAACACCATTAACTAAAACATATGTAAATGCTGTGCACTTTGATATGGGCCTAGTATTTGTTCACTTACTGTTTGTCATTTTCCCTTCTTGAATGAAAGTGTTGTTACTCTGAGAGTGTACTGTACAGTATATGTGCGTTCATTAATGTGAACTGAGGGGAGGCAGGACAGATCTGGGACACTCAGCCATCAAACACAAAGCAGCAGAAACCTAAAACCAGGGCAGTCGCTGATCCACCGAGAAACATTCCCAAATGTGGCAGGTCGTCTGTCCTTAATTAAGCTCTCGGATCTTCTCCATATTTTATCATGGTCATTCATATTCATTTACACTGTAACTGTGGCTGTGGACACAATCACCTCCTTTGGGGCCTCACTTAACTCACATGGAAAAATCCAGGCCACTCAGTAACTGCAGTCAATAACACTGAAGAAAATGTGGATGGTTGCTTGTACTGCAATGGGCAGCAGGGGAGATGGGAAACAGGATGAGTCAGAGTGGCTGAGGTAATTCATTTAAGTCTACTATATTAAATCTCATAGCACTGGTTTTCTACCTTATTTCTACCTTATTAGTCACCATGATGACATGTCTAAATTGCCTACAACCCTTACTAATGTTCTCTTTATTGCTGTAGAAAGTTTCAGCAAACTAGTTAACTCCAACTACTGACTGATTGTCTAAAACTGTATTAGTGCACGTTGAAACTACAGAAAGAGCTCAGTATCGTGACCTCCAGGTATGCAAGTATGTTTTTTCTGCTACAGAAATTGCTGCTAGTGGAGAGTCGGTTAACTAAACTGGCAAAATATTGCACCAGGTACAACTAAGTTGTACATTATTTAATCTCTTTTCCTTTTTTGACAGTTCAGAGGGAGACAAGAAATGGGTCCCCAGCAAAATTCAAACCAGGGACGCTGCGGTTAGTGCTTGCATTAGACCACTAGACCACTGTGCTTTCAAAACATGTCAGCATGAGTCCCAGAATACCTGCAATTTGTTGAATTCAGGGGGGCTTGAAACCTCTTTACAGATAAACAGTCAGTGCCAATGGGGACAAGGGGGCTGATGGGGACTATAGTTACTGCAAAGCTCCTAATAATAAGCCAGCAAAGCTCATGTGTTAAATTTTTTATCTGCCCCTCTTCAACTGCACAATAGTGGAAATGTTTCTTTGTTCTAACAGTATTGCCAGTTCCTGCTGTGTTTATGTGTTGTGTCACTCCCACTGCTACTGTCAGTTAAAATACTGTACCCTTAAAGTACAGCACCATATCCATTAAATTTAATGGGGCATGTAATACCCCTCTTTCTCTGCCCTTGTTTCCTGATTCTGTCCAAACTGTCTACTGTCCAAAAACAAATTGGGGTTTAACTGAATACTGGTCTTTGGCTAATGTGAGGTGTCCATATTTGTTAGATTTTCATGCACTTTTGTATTTTTAAGTGTCATAATTGTGTCTTGGATACTAACATGAACAATATTCTGATGCTCAGAGTTAAGACAACTTGCCTGGAGAACCTTACATGCAGTGCACACTAACCATAACATCTGAAATGTTTGTAGTTTTAAAGCCCCACATAGACCACAAGCACAAAATGGACACAATTGTAACAGTACAGCAGCTAAATTTATCCTTTAGAGTAAGATACTATGTAGAAGTCACAAATAACAATGAAAGGCATAGATTTGTCTTTAGTGAGTTGACATCTGAACCCTAAATAGATGTAACTAAAGGACAAGAATTACCTTGTTAAAAGTTCTTAAAATTGCATCTAATCCTCCACTGACATATCAAAAATCTATAAATATGAACAAAGTCAAATGTTTGGACCCACTTTCTCTATGAACTGAATGGGAAAACGAATCCAAACCTTTGAGTTGTAGTTTACAGTATATGTTATTACACCATATAAACAGTATGCTGTACTGTAATACAACGTGTAGTCATATAAACATTAACAACATAACAAGCAGACAAACATTAGACTCACCCTCCTTTGATGTAATCCAGGAAGGTGTGTTCTGATTCCACAGTGAATGACAACAAGGACACCTGAGGTTAAAAAAGAGGCCAACAGATTATGTCATGCTTTGTAATTAAGAAAAGCAAAATCTGCCAATCTACACATTAACACCGACCTCTGATTTAACCACCCGCAAAATGACTTATCCACACAAAATGAGTTTGACACCTGGGCAGCATATTAGTATTACAATCACTGAGGGTGTCTGTTGGATGATCAGTGTGATGGATAACTAAACACAGATTTTAATTACAGAGCATATAGCAAGAGCAGCCAAAGTACTCAGGCTGGAACAAAGCTGTGACTCATTTCTAAACATCCATCACTACTCTTCACTAATAAAACATTACTATGGACTTGGTTATTCACCCTGTTTGAGGTCACGAGGATGTTTTCTCATCTACTTAAATTCGCTATTTAGATCTAAAGCCCTGGGACTGGGAATGGAAGAAAAACATTTAACAGAACTAAACTGCATTATTCAATCCACTCTGAAAAAATTTCTTGAAAAATTAATAAAACAAAGGGAGAGCAGGGCTGTGAGTAGAGCAGGGAGTTTGCTCTTTTCCTGGAACTCAGACTCACCGTCCCAGAGTTTATGTATCTCTTCTTCTTTATTTTCTTCTTGGGGTTCACCACCTGGTATGAAGGCAGAACAGAAAGGAAGCATAATGATAATATGAACTTGCAGCACAATTCTTTTTATCCACCCTTGGGCAAGTAATAAACACATCTTTGTCCTCCTACTCGAGGTCTGTAAAGGTAATGGAGCATGGGGACTGAATCCAATAACTGCAGGAGGTGAGAACAAGATAGCATTGATCATGCCTTGCAGCAAGACACAGATTATTCAGGGGGATTTTTGCGAGTGCCAAAACTGTAATGAACATTTTACATGCATGTTATCAATTTTGGGAATAGTGGAACACATATATCTGTCTAAACCATTTACTTGTAATAAACAAAATGATAACAGCATGCGAACTGAATTGCAAATTCACAGGTGTACAATAAAGTGTAATACAGGCAGATATATAGCCTACAATAATATTGGGGTGATATGCAAGGCAAACCAATTATGAGCAATTCCAGCTCTCCCTGCTTTAAATTAATGTTGCATTCAGATCTTGCAACCAAAACATGTGCAGTATACAACAGTAAGCCCTAAAGATCAAATAGCTCTACTTCTCATTCTATGGCTCTGCACACAAACATAAAGCACAAGCCTGGAGGAAACTGTGCTGTAGAATAAAGCAAACCGCAGCTCGCTCTCTTCCTTTCTCCTTTATTCTGCTTCTGTGGTTTCTCAAGCTCCTCCTTTAACAAGGATGATGCCTGATAGCACTGTGGCTCATCACTCAGTCACTACCTGGTTCACGTTACGTCACACACACACACATCACTTTGAATTACACTAGCCTCCATTAGCATTAGCTGTGTTGTCATCTCGACTCAGAACTAATGTTTGCAGGCCCCGTGCATGTCAGGTTGAGTACAGAGGAATCTGCGCAGAGTCGAACACTGCAGCCGGTGACCTATTCAAATTCTTTGTTTGTCAACTGTAAAAAGCTTTGTGTGGTTTATGGCCACATCCTGAAACTGTTTCAAGGGCACTGACCTGGCAAGGAGTGCACGAAGAAACTGCTGTGTATCATTTTCTAATTAAAATAGAGAAAGGTGTGCTCAAGGGTGATGGATGCACCTACTTTTCTTATGCACTGTCAGCAGTGTGAAAGGGCAGCTCTGCATGCCATTCACTCACTCTGTCTTCCCCTGTGTCTTTTGCTGTCTATCCTTATCTATCCACATCTACCCACCATCGTTTCCTATACTCACTCTCTCTTCATTAGCTCTGTTATTTCCTTTCCTTAAGATCCTTAAATCCTAAAAAACTAGTTCTGTTGCTTTCCGATTTGTATTCTCACCACAGAGGCACACTTCCTCATCTGGTCTGTTGCACCAATTAACCTCTCCAATTCTTAAAACTAGGAAGGATAAGGAGAGACAAAGGAGGCACACTGTTCATTTCAAATAGCCACAACATGGCTCAAGCAACCAAAGCCCGAGAGTTTCCTGTCACTGAACTTTGGATAACAAGACCTCGCTGAACCAAAAAGAGCACAGACTTGCTCTGAAATCTAAGTAGTTTTCTCACAGTGGCACTGCAGGAGAATGTTTGTGCCAAAGGTGCATCCACATTTCATTCATTAAGTTTGAACACAGCTCCCTCTGTCTACAGAATGCTTGGAGACACAACAATCTTATATTGATTAACTAGATGTACCACACCTTCAGGACTGGATATAAAGGAGATCAAGTTCACACAGTGAGTTGAGTTCCATCTTAAAGTAGTTTTAAAAGGACCAGCAGGAAAAAGGTAACATACAGTTCAAATGAAATGTGCAACCACAGTCACCGTTTTACATAAAGTACCTCTGCCCTGAGGGATGACATGCAGGGCGATTACAGGATTGACTGTCTTGATCTCCACTCACCTCGTAGACATTTAGTTGGCTCTGACCCCGACACAGCTCTTTGTAGCTAGTGGTGAATTCACCAATAAAATCGTGGCTGGAAGAACAAGACAAAAAAACTGCATCACATATGGGTCATTCATCTACAGTAGGTAAAACCCTGAGAGGTGGAAGGTACAGTGGCAGGAAAAAGTTTGTGAACCCTCTGGAATTCCCTGCTTTTCTCTATTAACTGGTTATAAAATGTGATCAGAGTCATAAGTACAGTACAAACACAATGTGCTGAAGCTAATAACACACAAGCATTATAAGAGTTTGTGCCTTTATTGAACACACCCATTAAACATTCCCAGTGTTGGTGGAAAACTAAATGACCTGCACAGTATTCAGGACGAATGTTGGACCATTCTTCATCACAAACTGTCTTCAGCTAAGCCATATTGTTAGGTCTGGTGTGAGCAGACTCCAGACTCCAGTTAGCCTTTGTTTTGTTTTGGTTCTCATACTTTTTTCCTGCCAACCTTTTTCAACCTGTTTCAAAGGTGCATTCAGTGTGGACAAGGACAATATACTGTAATCATTTATGTTATTATAAATTAATAAATGAATTTCTTCTCTCTTGCCACTGAAAATGTAGCTAGTGGAATTACACCACAACTGTTGATGGACAGATGTTAGCTATAGTAAGATTCCATTTTTCAGTGAATAAAAATAACCTCTATTAAGTGTTATTGTAAGATAAGGTGGGGGTTCTTTTGAGTATGAAAAAATGAACAAATAATGTAATGCACAGAGGAGCTGAAGGACAAACTCTTAAAAAATGACAAGTACAATCAACTACCGGTACTAATCGTGAATGTACTGTCTGTGTAAGTGGAGTTATTACCTCCCGTCTCTGTCCCAGTCATACACTTCCACTTTGATTGTCCTGTGAACACATCAAAAGAGGTCAAGTCATGCAAGTCACATGACACATTAGTATTTTAAAGCCATCACATACATTTAAAATGCAATGTAAAATGTAAATGATAATAACAGAAGGAAAACAGAGGGAAAGGTGTTTGTTTGTGTGAGCATATTTATGTAATTTGTAAGCTGCTATCTAAATGTCCTTGAGGGCGCAGTTTGTTGGTAAAATGACCTCACGAATTTTAATGAATTGTTTACCAGTGAGTTTGTCTCTCTCACAGAAGAAACCTCAAGTTGACAGAGTTGTTAAAACTTTGGGTAAAACATTTTCTCTGCACATGCCAGAGATAGAAAACTAACCTCTTGGGAGGCAGCATATTTTGCAAGTTCCCAAAATACACTGGAAGGCGAGAAATCAAAAAACGTAAGCTTGAGAAAATTAACTAAGAATGGGAAAAATGCTTCCTTTTCTTCTACATGATCTGATAGAAAGATCAGCAGCTTACAGCCCCATCAGCTGCTGTCCATAATGTGTCAGTGGGCCCAGAAGGAGGAGGGCTGTCCTGTTATCCTGACCTGAACTCATTCCGTCTGCACTTAACACATATCCTAACCTCACATAACTGTGCCAAGTGTTGTTATAGCGCAGAGAAGGATGAGACAAGAATTGCACCCTGAATCAGTTTTAAAACTGTTCTATCCTCCATCTAAATACTGCAGATAACACAGCCAGATAGTCACATTTCAGAGTCAGAGTGAGAAAACCATTAAATTCTGCTCGTACCCTTTGACTGACAGTCAAAAACACTGATGTGTTTTGACACTCAGGGCAAGCGTGGCAGATGATTTCCCTGTGATATGTCAGTCACCATCAAATTTCTCCAATATCATTTTTGTGCAACTAATGAAGAGGGTCATGAGCAACACTACGACTCGATCGAATTTACTGGTGAAGATACAGAGAATTAGTTCCCTTGGATCAATTTCATTTCAGTTTCTACATCCACCGTATGCTTGTACAGAAATGGGAGAACTTTTACTTTCTAATGGGAGTTAAAGTCAGAAGACCACAATACATTTGACTATTCATCCAAGAGACATGTCTGATGAGAGTGAGTAAATATTATTCATGCCTTAGATGTACATGTAAAACATGAGCACAGTGGACATAAGAAGTGCAAAGCCTGAGGCTTCTGGTGACCCTGAAACCTTTCTTCTCCTTTGTGCCATTGGCTCCCATCAGACATCTCAGATCTGGATCTTCATCCTCACTTCTTTTCCTTTCTAAATTTATGTGCAAGGTGCCCTTGAGGTCCGCGGTCTTCTTTTGTTTACAGTGTATCCACATCTATAGGCTAATGATAGAGGGAGTTGTACTGTAAAGCTCTTTGAGGCAAATTTGTAACTTTGCACAAAAAAAATCAAATTGACTTCACTTGAAAAAATAAGAGGAAAAAGTGAGTCTAGGAAAATCAACATTACAGCACATATAAAGTAAATCTGTGGTATATTTATATGACAAAATGGCAGACTAAAATCCTCAAAGGGAATCAAACTTCTTTCATGTTTCTGCTCCATTTCTCTGAGTCAATTAGCTTCTCTGGGCAGGTGAGCAGAGATGAGGTCAAGATTAAGAACCTCTGTTGACGCCCAGCGCGGTGGAAAGGATACGGTTTGACATCCCCTTTGACTCCTACAGACTCTCATGGTTGTCTGGGCCTACATACATTCATGCTTTTGTGCACACACACACACACACACACACACACACACACACAAGACAGCAGGGCTGCTCTGTTGTTCAGCCACCTGTCAACATCTATAGAACGAGCACAGCCTCTTCCTCCTCCTCTCCCTTCCTCTGTCTCTCTTCTTATTTTTTATTTTCCTGCCAAAACTCTTCCTGCTCCTCAGGTGTCCCGTGAGGCCCTTTGCTTCGAAGAAATTCAGATAAGCTAGTAGATGCCACTGAAGCAGCCAATCAGAAACTTGAAATGCACTGAAAGGATCTCACTGACTGTGGGCAAATCAATGAACAGCCAGGCACGATAGCATGTAGTCAGAGATAGGCCTGTAACAATTCTCTATTTCAGCAGCAGATAAAAGAAAGGTAGAAAATCAATGGTGTCTAAATTTGATGCACCCAACTCATTTTGAAATAAGCACAGCACATATTAAAGCTCTTCATGGCTTTGAATTCCACTGGGAAAAATCACACTTCATCTGGGTGTGCATGCAGTGTGTGTCACTTTATAGTACATCATGAGTCACCCTACCTGTCATAGTCTCCGTTGCAGAGTGCTCTGACAGGGATGGAGAAGGGCTGCCACACAGGGTTCAGTGTGTTCTTCACCACTTCACTCTTGTGGCAGATTGTGAACCTGAAGATACAGTTTGACAAGGAGTTAAAATCCTAAAACCTAATGACAAAATCCTCCAACTACAGTTTGTTTTGGGACCCTATCTGCTTAATGTATCAGTATGCAAGGGATCTCAGTCTTATTCCTCCAGTCCTCTTTGAGCTCCTCCTAACCTGGCTTTGATAAGACACCGTGAAAGAGCAGCAAGAGCCAAACTCACGTGCCATCCTCATTGCTTCTGTAGAAAACCATGAATGGATCAGACTTTCCAAAGAAGTCCTTTTTATCCAGTTTGTTGGCACAGAATTGCATTGTTGCGTAATCCTACAGAGAAATAAAGAAAGTTAGAGAAATGAGAAGACATTAAAGAACACTGCAAATCCATGATGCTGCCTCTGTTTGCCTAATGTTTGTTTATACAAGCTCTGTGCAAAGATATAAAAGCACTGAAGCACCAATTAAAATCAAAGTGCTGACTGAATCCTAATAAGAATGAAACAATCAGCAGGCTGAAGTTTCCAAAACCTGCAAATGCATTAATTGCAATTTCTTTATTATACAATTCCTGCACAACAACAGTGGACAGGACAAGGGATATAAAATTGAAAAAACCTTGCTGTGCTGAAAATAATTCTAGTAAGTGTATGAGATTCTGCAGTGGCACAGAAATGGATTCTGAAACTCGGCACATGGAGGAGGGCTGTGTACAAAAAGGACGTGGAGGGTGTGAGTGCAGCTAATGATACATTAGAAAGGGTGGTATTACCATAATTATACTCATTTAGGCAGCATTTCAATGTGCAGTGCCATTATAAAGACAATGAACATGCTCCATAATGCTCCTGGTTCCAGATAGTCTCACTGTGGTCAAGGTACAATACACTGTATAATAGTGAGGATGAACAGTGGGCACAGACTAGACAGGTAAGCATCCACATCAGATGAAACTCTGAAAAGTGTTCTCCATCACCAACAGCCTTTATCTCAAAGCTATATGAGCCTATTAAAAAAACCTTTTAGCCCTAAAATATACTGCATATGCAAGTCAAGTGTCTAATCATTGTATCTTAAAGCGTGAGATGTGATATGAGATGACATTCAGATCCTTCATCTAGCAAAAAGAAGGGCTGTTTTTACCCAGTTGGGCTTCTGGGATTTCAGGCTCTGAAGTGCATCTATTAGATCTGAATCAGTGTGACGCTGGGCAGCACCTCTATCGATTGCTCTGACCCACATCAGTGTGGATCGCTCTGCCTTTGACCTGCCTCTCACTAACCCTATCACATCACTTTATGGCTTGGACACAGACATGTCACAGACCAGCCTCTGTCTCTGAGGCAACTGTTCAGAGAACGAAGGGTGCTACTACAACGATACATGAGAAAATAACTCTCAGAGTAATCTCCAGAAAATTGAGCTAATTTGACTGTTGTTTCCAGTCGTGGTTTATGTTTCCAATTAAAACTGTGGAAATGTTGAAACAGAAGCAAAGTAAAGAGCTGATTAAAACAGTCAGTGGTGGCTAAATGGGCAGCTATATATCGATTTTAATTTCCTACTATACTGTCATTTTCAGTTATTACTCGTTTCTGCTCAGTATGCAACATAGGTACAGAGCATGTTAATGGAAGATTGTCTTTTTCCAATTTGTGTAGTTTGATACGGCGCAGCCAAGTTATAAAGCCATTCACTGTGCCGTTTGTGCCTGAAGCGTGTCAAGCTCTCCCTTGATGGCTTTTCACAAGAACATAATTTGAACATCTAAGTTCCCGCTGTGGCTCGGTGTGTGGATTTATAAAAAAAAAAAAATCATCATGTTGGAGGAGTGTGCTCAGCTCAGTAATCCAAGCCCTTAAAAATAGAGCCACCCTATAACTGTCCAGCTTAGCCCTGACACAACCCCTACAATTACACTATCATGGCAACACGTTGCCTTAAGCCTTCATTAGGCACAGATAACACATAGCCACTTTGCTGCCTAGCAGTGTTCTCTCATTAAGTGGGGAAAAAAAGGCAGAACATTCATTTCAGCCACTGAGGTTTAGGAGCGGTGGGGGAATACTGAGTGCAGTCTACATCCTTCTTTCCATTTCTCTGCTCTACCAAGATATCGCTGCATGGGGTAGGCGGTACAGCAATGCACATTGTCACTTTCAGAAAGTGGGACTGGTTTTTTAAAGGAATACAGAGCATACTCAAATTCACACAAGCTTGTGGTATCCTGAGCATCACACATTGTGGTGAATTAGCAAATTAATAATGAGCTAGAGATATACTGAACCCAGCTTCTCTGTATGCAGCACACATCTTTTCATTCATTTATGTGAAGACTGATTTTCCCAACAAACATGGAATAAAAAGAAAAGTAGTGACAAAGCCCAATTCCATTTTCCAACTACAGTGAAAAACTGAAGAATACCTTTACGAGGGAAATGCTATTTTGAAATTCAAAACAGACAAAGAACCACTTAGGATTTTATTTCAAGACCACAACTGTGGGGAAAGTTCCTTTACATTGTCTGTTTTATTTGTTAACATCATTACTGTGACTGGATATAAAACCTCAGCTAAGCAACCATTAATTTGGCTCATTTCTCATTTGAAAATGTTATTAGCTAACAGCGGTTGCTCCTCCCCACCTCCTTCACACACACATAAAATTTCTTGCTAGATTTTTTTGACTTGAGATGCCTTTAGCAACGTTTTTGTTTCAAAAAAGCAACTAGTGACAAATCTAATGACTTTAAGTCACCCACAAAACCTGATGAATAAAAGATTGTATTGTGTAAGGGTGATGGTAAAACACAGGAATATTGAATAGAGATAGTCAAGTTCATTTCAGCTCCTAAGTGTTTGTTTGTATATGTATATGTATATGAAGACCCGACCAAGGTCGCAGCCATACAAATTCACGACATAATAACCCTGAATATGAATATTATTGGCCTATATGTCCAGTAAGCAATAAAACTGGCTGTGGTTTACTGCTGCCATATGTAAAGTGTAGATTATTTATATTTAAATCAGCCGGTGCTGCAATGGACTATGAGGCGGATCTGAGAGGGAGCCAGCCGCTGCTCAGCCAGAGATAACAGCAGCCAAGAGAAAGCCCTTGATCCACACTGTTGCTGTGTCTAATGATACCTGGTAAATCCACCACAGAGGTGAAAGCCAACCCGCCGCTAATGGTTAACAGTCCCTGCAGAACTTCACCAGTCGATTCTCACTCTGATGGTTTCAGTTTCCCTAAACAAGAGCTGCACTGTTTACCTCTGGCAAAGCAGCAACTCTGGTGCCTTCATTTATTGGTCACAGGTGGATTATAGAATAAACACCATCCAGATGGATGGTCGCAGTTCCAAATGGCTATAATTCATAGTTGTGGGATTTGTACTGACAGCAGTGCCTTCAGCTGCGTTTTCCTTCATTTTTTCATCCTGGTTTTTACTCAGACCAGAGGTATTTCCATTCAGGGTTAAATTCTATGTAAATAAGCAAATGAGAAGATAAATAAGGAGCGGCATGTCATGTCTGTGTCTCTGATTCTGTATGTGAGAAAGGAAACGCTTTTTTGTGTCAGTAATGATCATTTGCATTTATATTACAAAATTGCTTCTTGAAGTGGTGCTTTGCGGTGATGATGGTAATTCCCATCATCAGAGAACCAGTGCACCTGATGACTCACAGCAGCCTTTCAATGACTGTGAACACTGACACGTCGGTCCAGCAGGACCAAACCAGTAATGGTTATCGCTATCAGCATGCTTTATCAGTCTCACTCTAACAGGAGGCTGTGTATTCGTCAAGAAATTAATGCTGATAGTAAAACTTGGAAAAAAAAAATTTCATAGCTAAGATCAGCTGATTTTAACCTCTTTTACAAAAATTAGTAAAGGTTCAAATTTTTAGATGCTTACATTTATTAAGACATGAAACATTTATACAGTAGTTGCTGCTCAATGGCTTGTTTAATAGCCTCTGAGGGTGGCCAGTTATTCTGGCCAATAAGTCTTGCTTCTGTCTTGCTCCACTGACAGTAGCATAATGTAATCATTTACTACCTACATTTAGCAGTAGAGAACAAGTAAATGGGTATTAGTAGACCAGTTATTAGTATAGAGCTTTGGATTAACACAACACACACAGAGAAGTAAAAGCCTCTTTTAGCGATTGGAATGAGAGCGGGTTAATTCAAATTTATGGCATAGTCACTATGTACATAATTTCCAAATGACAAATGCAACCACGCAGTGACATGGCGTGTCCCGCTTGTTTAATGGGGACATCATATATCTTGCTGAATTTAGGGCTATTAAACAACTCACATCACTTCAGAGGGCTCGTGGACACTGCTAAACATGCATTATGCACCTCACACAAGCGCACACCATTTCCCCACAGCATGCCACATATGATTTCTGAGTGATGTTATATTCTAAAAGTTATGTTCAATTAAGTGGTTAAACGGCCCATTTCAAATTAGCTCAGTGAAGAAAAGCAAAAGAAAAAATAAAAACTAAATTAAAAGAATATATGGGTCAAAACTTTTTGAACTTACTCTGCAGTTTCCGAGCTCCTCGGCAGACAAGATAATGGTCCCACATTTCTTCCCAGGTATGCCACTGTGAAAACAAAATAGTTACAATACATTCTTAACAAAAAGACCTTAAAGTGACAGTATGTAACTCAAGGAGCATTAACATGGAACTCCAAATCAAGCCACTCTGCCCGGCGCTCCCTCTCTCTGCTCCACTACAATCTGCTACGCTCCACCACACTCTGCCCAGCTTTTCAGATATTTGTCGTTATGAAATTACAATTAATGAGAATGCAACAAAACCTACTGAAGCAGAAATAACTGAAAATCTCTAATTGGTCAGAGAGGTCAGTCCCATTCAAAACCCTTTAGAAGCCAATATCTCTGCACTGCTGCCAGTGCTGTTCAATGAGTCTGGGTCACAGGAGGCTTCGACAGCACTTCTCCACATTAAGACAAGTTTTGGAGCAGATTTCTATAACAGAAATATTTGGAAAACGTGACATGCTATAGTTTTAAAGAGCCACTTTATAACATCAATGTCTACTGGAGTAAGATGATTTTAGCTTCAGCTTCAGTTGGTCGGTCCAGTTATCTTTTGAAAGAGAGCTAAAGTACAACTAAGTAGTAGGCTTTCACTTTTCCTCCACATCTTTGATTTATCATTTCTGGTATGTCAACAAAAACAGACACACAAATAATACTACTAATAATAATTATATGAATGAATGTTTATAAAGCTTTTTCTGCAGTAACATGTTTTATATCAGGTTACAGGTCATTCTAAATACATTTACTGCTTTTAATCCAATAATGCAATACTGGAGAAACAGTTTGACAGCACATTATTTTGCTTTACTCCTGTAACTGAATCAAAAACCAGTTAGAAATACTAGCTCTTGTGGCTCAATGTGGAATAGGTTCTCTGATCTCCGTCTGCCAGCAACACACTGGCTCCTCAGGTCTGCACTTGTTTACGGCTGATTCCCACTCCAGCAGATGATCAAGATAAGTCCCAGCACAAGACAGGTTCCCTGCATCTGTGCTTCTGTACATCACCTCTTTGGTGCCAATCAAACTGTGCTAACAAAAATAGACACAGCACTGCTCCACAGTTTACCCTGAATGTTATTTGACTGTATATTCTGAAGCAAAACAAAATGAGATTTCTTTATATCCAATCTCACCAAAGTTCAGCATCCACTAAAAATGTGAGAAGCAGACAGAGCCCATTCCACCCAACACAGAGCAAGGCAGCATATCAGCTTTCCAATCATACAGTAGCCCTCCACCTGCTGACACTCCTGTCATCTTGCCAGTTAAAGAACGAAATTACACGAGAGTCCTGCGGTGGCCTTAGCTAGAGATCAATAAATTAGAAGGTCAGACTTGCAAAGCCTCATCAAGCTGTGACAGTTGATCTGACTGGCAGTAATACTGGATTCCACACTGCTCAACAGGAGGAAGTCCTTGACCACAGCAGCAGCAAAAGTTTTCATTATTTACACAGATAATCTAAAGCAAAAACCTGTAATGGCTGAATATACAGTACTGGATAGACTGTGGTTCTCTCTTTCCCACCTGCCTGTGCTAAGGATTTGTATTGTTTTTAAGATATACGGTAAGTGGTGCTTCCATTATCCTTTATTTGCCTCTCTCAGGTTTCCTTGGCTCGTATCACATAGTGTCATAGTCTTTTCATAATAGCAACTGTAGCCCCTGATGGATCACCTTTGACCAACACCTTAATATAAATCCACTGACTAAAAGCATCTGCTGCGTATCGACCAGTACAGTATGTGCGAGGAAACCACCAGTGTTTTTAGCCTTTAATGGGGTGAAATGTAAAACGAAGCCCTATCAGAGGGGAGGCACACTTCTCAGTTCCACAACGACCATCCTCAAGGTAAATTAACTGTCCTTGAATTATTGATGTTGCCACCATGCAGGTTGATGACGCCTCAAAGAGCCAGTAAACCCCTCACCACTGAGGCCACCATACCGTGCACACTCCACAGGTCAAGCTCTCTACCTCAAGTAAGGATCAATACTGGGTAATGAGATCCAGTGATTGATAAAATATCATCTCCAAATCCTTAAGGGTGCACCGCCCAGCTCTAATGTCTACCGCTGTGTTCTGCGCAGGCACCAAGAGTGCAATGGTCTTATAAATTAGGCATGCATGATTGAGTACAACATTTTCTCTGACAATGAGTAGTTAACTAGAAGAGCACGCAAGCACTACATAGATAAATACAGTTACCGCTGCTTCTCTGTGGCACACAAGTTTCTTTTTACTGCCCAGATGGACACAGTCCTGAAATGTGACCGCTAGGGATATGAAGAGTCCTGCATCACGAGGCCTCATCCATTCAGCACAAATTCACTGATGGATTCTCAGCGAGAAAAGGCTTTGATGATGAAATTATGTGAAATGTGCCTACTGTTGTCGTCCTTCCTATACTATCTGCCTTGTACAAGTCCTACTGTCTGACTGTTGCGAGGACCTGAGGGGCGTTAATCACTTGGTCACGTAAATGTGTGACATGTTTGTCTCCACTGCTCAGATATTTGAATAATCAAATTACTACAGTCAAACAACATCAGGGTATTTTGTGATGTTTTACAATCAGGCAATCCCCAGCTAAGCAGCTCATGTCAACACAGCAATGTGACAGCTCCATTGTTTCAGGCTACATTAACATATGTATATATACACAGTACAACGTGAAGTATGGTTGTAGCCTCTCTGTCTCTTCTGGAGGTGGATGTGACTAGTTATGTCATCACAAAGTCAAACAATGTGTAGTAATGAGTTCACTTTGTAAGGTTGTCAGTGAGCAGTGTGAAAGCTGCAGCCAAAGAAATTAAGGATTTGTTTAAGTGAAGACAAATCCTTAGAGAGTAATCAAATTATACCATAAAGGGTAGCATCAGCTTTCATATTTTAACATACCAAACTGATCACCAGGAGCATTATCAATTATATGTTGGTCAAGCTTTGATTAATTCGAGGTTAACATCAAGGTTAATTAAAAGTAGGTTAACATCAACAGACGCTGGCGTTTAAATGCTTCATGGAGCTGCTTTGTGCAAGCAGTCGCTGCTATTAACTGGCCTTCCATAAATACAGTCTTTATTTTCTTTTTGGTTCTTTATAAAGATTAAAAATACAAATTGTTCATTGAGTTGAGTACAGCCTGCTTATGGGAGCAGTCATATTTCAATGAGGAACAATGAGGTACGTTTCAATAATTCTTTGCCATCCCCTCTTTCAATTTAATGAGGGACACCATTTAAAAATTTTACAGAGACGTTGATTAATGGGCATTGTCCCCAAAATACAATAAGTAAATTAGTGAAGGGGACATGTTCAGAAAGAAGCAGAGGGTTTAAAATGGAGCACCACCTAATGCTGGTTCTCACAAAATCACAATGCACACTGCGTGTCTACGTCATTGTTCACTCGCTTCCTTGGCTGTCAGATGGTCGATCTCATTCAAATCCTCTCACGTTTTTCATGGTATTGAAAAAGCCCAGGGGAAATGAAAAAAGGCTTGTTACAACACTATTGAAATGCACTGCAAATGTTTTTAGTGACCCTGTGACCTTTCCTCTACGCTCATTATCAGGGAAAATCTTCGCTTCCATGAAATTTACTCTACAAATGAATGCTCACAAGAGGAGCCCTTTGCATTTTGAAAACACCTTGACCCATCTTCAACATGCAAAATGCATTACATTATCTTACTGGAAGAGTGCCATACTTCAAATTCTACATTTTAGCCACAGTACTGGGGATACTGTAACAGAAAATCAATGCAAGCAACAAAGGACTAACACTGTATGTGCATTTTTTAATCAAACATTAGCTTCCTCAGCAGCACATCAGGGACATTAAATAGTGAAATAAATTTGGAGGTCTTTGAGTTTGGTAGTGCACTACTAGCCAATCATAAAAGACAATTAAAATTTCAAACATTACCAGACTGACCTGACACAAGTCATGATTGACTAAAAAAGGTCACAATTAAATATTTTATAACAGGCTGCAGGATCCTCCCATCTCCACACAAGCCTGGGTGAGCTGGTTCATGCTAAATGGGTGACTGCATTAACAACCTTAAGTGCATTTAGAGAACACAAATTAAAGTATTTATGTAATTCTATCACTTAATTTATTTACGATTTAATTCAATAGAGTATCACAGCAGTAAGTCCTAAAACACAGAAGTGAGTTAGTATTTTTGCACCTCTGGTTTCCTTGTTTTTTAATGGGTTTTTGCTTTGACAGCTGAAATAAGGTCTGTGGTTAACACAAGGCCAATACATTTTCACGTTTTGGCCTATAAAATAAATACATCAGTAAATACCCCACTTTTAAGCGTCTTAAAAAGGTGGTTGCTACCAAGTGGATAAATGGAACTACATAGGCTTTCTGGGACATGCAAACTATTCTAACCGACATGCCCTCTAGCTAGATCAGGTGACGCTAAGAGGAAAGGATTTTCTAGAAGAGGTAAGCCCTATAAATCAAATTACAAGTTGGAAACTGTGGTGATGACACTGAAGTCATGGGACCATGGTCTAATTCATTAATAGCCTGACAATAGCTTTTTACATCTGGCAATTGTATTTGGGATTCAAAAAGCATAAAAGTGGTGTTCACTTTGTTAAGATTATCTTGTTGAACAAAACATGTAAGTGTCATAAACTGCCATTTGTTACAGAGCTTATTTTCTGCAATAACCTAAAACCCTATGGAAAAATCCCACTGGCTTTTTGTCGAGGGAACTAGTGTGGTGCTAACTTACAGGTTGGCCTACAAAAAGCGTCATCCCTACAGCACTCTATGTATAGTTGAGAGAAACAATAGTAAAGACAATACCATTTTTAAAAAAGCAGTAATGGCATCTAAATTCAGGTTTAAGTGCAGACAATTGAATAGTGTTAATGATGTGGTCTTGTTAAGAAAAGACTGATGACTGCCTGTTATCTTCCATGACTTCTGTGCTTGCAGTGAATGATTAATGTAATACAATAATGGCTTCCAGCACCTCAGCAATGCAGGTGAGTAGTGCCTGC